AACGATGAGATGAAAACGGTTTTATTAAAAATTTCAAATATTAGAGTAAATCTATGTAAAAAGTAAGTATTAGGTTTACATAATAAAATTACATAATATGTTCAAACATGATATACTTGGAATGTTTAATGCTTAACACTCGACGTTTGAGTCAGACTCGCACTTGCCCGATTTTTATTATTATTGCCGTCTACATGACAATAATGTTATGGCTGTTCTTATTGTAACATAGCTATTCTTACATAATCCATACTAATATTATAAATGGAAAGTGTTTGTTTGTCTGTCCTTCTTTCACGTCGAAACGTAGTGACGGTTTGACGTGATTTTTTGTGTGGTGATTGTTGGAGGGCTGGAGAGTGATTTAGCTACTTTTTACCGCAGGAGATTATCTCATTCCCACGCGAAAACACGTTATAATACAACCCAAAAAATTATTTACGATCACAATTAATTGAAACTTGGTATTAATACTTTAATCTAATGTTATAATCTTTGACATCGATTGTAAAATTGTGTCAGTGTACCTAATCAGATAATATCTATATGTAGGTATATTAATTCGTGAAGAGAAAACTTTGTACGGCTTTTTAAGCATATTGCCTGTATGAGCTTTGGAGTAAATTGTTAGTTTCTATGGAGAAGAACTAGGTATAGAAACCTTAAATTTATTGACTTGCTTTTAGTCGCGTCTTCGCTCGCGAAGTTTATTTATATTTAATTATTCCACACCTAATAGTTGCAGTGTATTCAATTTTATATTTATATAAAAAGCTGTAGAGTTTGTTTGTTTATCTGCTAGTGCAAGTCTGAAACTACAGGTCCAATTTCAAAAAATCTTTTTGCATTTTATTGAGAAAAGCTATGTAACTTCAATAAAAACTTTAATAACATTCAAAGTTCAAACTTATTGAATTGTGGGCGATTTAGTAATTACATATAAATAGGTTAGTTAAGATTATATATCAACGCACATAAAGTATGTTTTTATCTATAATATTTTAAAATTTCTTTGCAATGTCGATTTTTTTATGACAAAGTGTTATTTGAATCAGACGTGAAAATTGCGAGGACGCTCGCAAGTGCGAAGTTGTGGCAAACTTTTATAGCTTTAAAAAAGTTATTAACGACCTCCTTGTTTCGCTAAGATTTTAACTGTAACTGGATGCTGCACATGATTTGTCAATACTTTATACTAATATATCTATGTATTATCTTCACTAATATTTCGTCATTTCGCTCTTCTGATATTTTATTGTAATCTTGTTTTTTTTATGTTTGTATTCAACCCTTTTTAACGTCCCACTGCTGGGGGTGGGCCTCTCTTCAGTACGAGGAGAATCAGGCCATAGTCCACCACGCTGTCCAAGTGCGGGTTGGTGGACTTCACAAGTCTTTTGAAAACTTGTTAGGTTCTCTTAGACATGCAGGTTTCCTCACGATGTTTTCCTTCACCGTTAAGACAAGTGGTAATCATGTTGGAAATGATTCGCACATGAAAATATCAGAGGTGCGAGACCCGGGATTTGAACTCGCTTCACTCGGTTTTCCAAGCAAGCGCGTTACCACTGGGCTACTACTGGGCTACCACTGCCTATATATTTATTTAAAGTAAAATAATCAAAAACATCTAACAAGCTCTTTTAACCCGGAAATAAAAGTTATCTTGTAGTCTGTCTAATTTCATCAATTTCTATGAATTTAGCATGTAAAATACATATATTGCTTATATACTTAGAATGGTAAGTAATGCTTTCATCAAACATAAGAGTAATAAATAATGACTTCCTACCATCGGCGAAATTAGACTGCCAGATTGAATTTCCTTTGTCCCGCCATTGCGTTCTGTACGTGATGGGAATGAATGTGGTTATAAGGAATAATCGATTTTTTGACAAAAGTCACGAACTTGGTTTATCATATACAATACTTCACTTGCCACTTGGTAGATTAAGATGGGATTCTATAGAGTAGTTGGTTATTTTTAGTCAAATAACAATCCACTTGGGTTATTTTAGATATAAAATCTGCAAAATTAAATGAAATATTATTATATAGTAGGTATAACAATATAAACAACTAGCAGAACTCGCGGCTTCGCTCGCGCTAAGACTGTAAAAAATTTCTTAAAAGGTAGTTATCATACAAACTTTTATCCTCTATTTAACCCCCTTATATATAATAATTACCTTGAAACGATTTTGAAGTCGATGTGTCTTTTTTAATAAAAAAATTATATTATTAAGTATGTTTTCTACAAGCGAAATCGATTATAGATAGATAGCTTGCAAGAAGCAGATCAAATTACTGATCTACTTTAGACAAAAGGCAAACGTGGTACAGCGTCTTCCCGACAAGTTAACGCGTAAGCATCTAAACTTTGTGGTGGGAATGGTTTACAACTACCCTAGAACTCCTTATTTAATTGACAACAAGCTTCAGCTTGCGGCTTTGATTGCGTGTTTATTCAATCAGTCTGTAAGCTTTATATTATAACGGCGACTTAGCAAGAATTTAAATCGGAAATCGGGCTACTCTTTTATTTTTTATAAAAATCTCGATTTAAATCAGTCTAAGATTATACAATACGAGTATAATAAAATTCTGAGTCGAATCTGTACAATTTTAGAAAAACAGATCAAAATCTACCTTAGGGGGGGGATTCGTAGCCAAAAGATAAAACCGGATGGATCTCTTATAATATTTTGTGTCCGTAAGACACATTTTACAAAAGATTTTATTTATTGATTATAAATCTCACTTTTAATATCCGGAATGAAATACTAAAAAATAAGTAATATAATAGAATTTCCAATAATTTCAACGACAATTTTTTGGATAAGATACGATACCTTTTAAGAAATGTAATATTTCTAATCACACACTTTGGTAAAATCTGTCTAGTGGTTTTCTCGTGATGCATTCCCAGACAGACAGACAGACAGACAGACAGAAATTCTAAAAACTATAGATTCGGCCTCTGTATCCATAATAATTTTTATTTCAATAAGATTTTTCAAAAAATATTTAATGTAAAGGTTCGGCTTAGTTACAATTTTATTATATGTAAGTTTAATTTTATTATATGTAATTTACATTGGCACACTGATTGATTGATTACACTGGCTTGCTTTATACTTTCATAAATATATGCCTCACTGTCATAAATATATGCATTACGTATGAGTGAGAAACTTTTAAAGTTAGTCATCCCCTATTTTGCAGGAAACCATGGGGACGGTTTCAAAGCATATAATCATTGCTTTACTTACATTTGCGTGCTATTTGCGAGCTTTCAGTGCTTAAATATAGCCACATAATAAAAAAATATCATAAAGGATATGTATAATGTATATATTAATAAAATAAATGACTGCCGCGTTCAATTTCATTTCGAGTTTTCTTTTCTTTTTATTAATAATAAATTCATTTTCAATTCAGTTCAATCCCGGGCCGGATTATTAAGTTCTTAATAAAACCTCAAGAGTTGGGAAGTTTGAGTTTTTTTTTATTTGTTTGATCACGTTAATCATTGTAATTACGAGGCCCATTTTAAAATTCATTTTGTATTCTCTAGCAATTATATAAACGAAGTGAGCAGAACCGCGGGTAAGCTAGTAGCTAGTAAGTAAAACTAAGAAAGCAATGTCGTAGGTGTGTCGTAGGTATTACATTCATACTTTCATACTTAATATTATAAATGTGAAAGTGTGTTTGTTTGTTTGTTTGTTTGTCCTTCTTTCACAACGAAACAGAGTGACGGATTGGAGTAATTTTTGGTATGGAGATAGTATGGTATAGGCTGGAGATTGACATAGACTACTTTTTAACGCGGGTAATTATCTCATTCTCACGGGAACGTTTATTACAACCCAAAAAAAATATTTATGATGAGAATTACTTCAAACTTAGTATTAATTAATGCTCTTCAATACAATTAAATAAATACATGTATTAGCATTTTTCAAAATTCATCCCATAAAGGAGTAAAATAGGGGATGAAAGCTTGTATGAAACTACCTTTTTAGAGATTTCTTTATAGTAGTATAGCGCGAGCGAAGCCGCTGGTTCTGCTAGTATTTTATATAATATAATATACATATACTTAATTTTATTATAGTCATATGTTTTTTATGTGATTTACTAACAATAGTTTTATATAAACTTATATATGTACATTGCTGTATATTATGATTTATTTCTTATATAAGTCTTATCTAACAGATTGTATGATTGTATATATTCTTGAACTGGGGTCCGTTCCAATTTCCGAATTGAAAAACGTTGCTTACAACAACGTTTCTCTTATTTTGTCTACCGACTTCTTATATTTTGATTTTATTTAGGTGCACCATGTATTTTGTTTCTTATGTTGACAAATACAATTGCAATTTTAAATTGAAGTGTTAAAAATAGTTAAAATTGAACTATTATATCGCTGGAACTTATAGTGAGTTTAAATAGTTTATTATATGTAAAACCATATTGGATTCTTATTATTTCACTAGCGACTCACTCTCGTTCCGCTCAGGTAAAAAGTATCCTATACGTTACCAAATTTCATCAAAATCTGTCCAGTGGTTTAATGATGCCTTCCCAGACAGACAGACAGACAGACAACAATTCTAAAAAGTATACATTCGGCCTCTGTATCAATAATAATGACTATTTCAATAAGATTTTGCAAAAAAATATATGTATTTAATGTACAGATTCAACTCAGAATTTTATTATATGTATAGATTTAATCAAATTGTCAATAAGACTGTTCATCATCTAAATATGATCACAAACTTTCACATTTATAACAAGTCATGTAATTTTAAATAAAACTATCTTTTCGGATTATTTCGCGGATTTATTTTGATTTTTGGTTCGCCTAATTGGGGAACCAAAAATCCGAAAAGATAGTTTTATTTAAAATGTCAAATATTCGCGTTAATCTAAGAAAGTATTAAGTCATGTAATATTTTATTATGCATTTTTCTTATTTATTTCAGAGATCACGGTCTCCAAGCAGTTCAGCACAAAGGCAGCTCGATGAAGCGGATCTGTTTATGGACCTCATCAAAGATGTCGCCAACGAATTGGATATCGATGTACTTTGCCATAAGGTGAGTTTTTTAACTTATTTATTAATATTTGACTGGGAATCACAAAATTAATCCCTTACAGGGTTTGGCGGTAAATAATGTTTCTCTATTTTTTTTATTATAAGACTATCATTGTCGCTCCTCCCGCGTTTAGATGACCAAAAATCAAACTTTTAGGTTTTACATATTACTTAGTACTCTTACATTTCTGTTTTTGTATTTTTTTCTCAGAAATGAGATATTTTCCGCGGTAAAAAGTATCCTATATGTTGACCCGGATAACCAGCTGTCATCATACAAAATTTCATCAAAATCCCTCCAGTAGTTTTTCCGTGATGCGGTAACAGACATACCTACAGACGTATCATATCTTAAAATATTGTCGCTTTTTTTTTGTTTTTATTTGTCCATTTTTAGTGTAGACGCAATAAGCAGTTAATTAGTTAGAAGAGAGTTTATTAATAACATGTTCGATTAAGCAATTTATTTAAAAAAATAATTTAGGTATTTGTTGATTTAAAAAAAACTGCTTGACGGATTTCGATAAAATTTATGTGACCACCTGGGATTTTCCAAATCAGTCTTCGAGTAATCGGTGAACATACATAAAAAAAAATCCGACGAATTGAGAACCTCCTCCTTTTTGGAAGTCGGTTAAAAACAAATATTTTCGTGGGTAATTCGCGTAGCTTGTAGCACTATCTTCTACGTATCCATCGATGAATTCGAATGCGAATGAATCTTGTAAACAAAATACTTACTAGAAAGGCGTGCTACGGATGGATTTTAATTTAGATATATAACATGGAGTAACATAGGCTACTGTTAGTAAATAACATTTACAAAAGATGGCGCTGCGTGTATATAATGTTATATGTAAAAGGCAACTAGTGATCCCTTCTAGAGTATAGTATTATATGATCTGTGCTTCTAGTGAAGTGAAGCTAAATCACTAATAGTAATGTACATATTATGTAGATAGTTGGTCGCCGGTGACCGTTGTCGCAGTCGTGCTCGCTTAGTGCGCGGGCGGAGTTAACTTTCGCGTTAATGTCAACCATAAAAAACCTAATAAGAAGTTATGAGAGTTGCCATAAAACACAAATTACTCTGAAAATATAGTAAAATGTACAGTCTAGGCCATTGTTAATATCCTGGTAGCTCATTAATTTTTTTTTAACTTTGCATTCATATAATGTTTAGGATAATCGTTCAAACTTTTGGAATTTTTGTCTGTCTTTATGTCAGTGTGTGTGTGCATATCATTTTATAGAGGATTAATTAAAAATAACTCTAACGGATCTACTCTAACTCTAGCTTTAGTATGTGTATATATTTATTTTTAAATACTTCTAAAATTTTATAATATAAAGGCACCTCAAAATCCCAGTATTTCCACATACTCGTAATATGAAATAACCTCTGGTAGAAATTGGTAGATCACTCAAGCATTATTCCATTATTTGAGAGCAAATAAAAGTAATTTCATGGTTTGCTACTTTGTAGGCCGCATTCTATTCTGCATTCATGTATCTTTAAGGCAAAATTAAATGCCTTTAAGTCATTTCAATATTTAACTATTTATTTTAAATCCCAAGTGAAAAGAGGCAAACACGCACAGTGCACACCTTAATTATTTACAGTTTGCACCTGTAGCAACTTTCAAATTTCTAAATGTCAAAAAATTTCGTAAAAGTTTGAAAAAAAAATGATTTGCACATAATATCACAAATGCGAGACTCGGGATTTAAACCCGCTTCACTAGGAGTACCAAGCTAACTTATTACCACTGGGCTACTAGATAAAACTAACCGACCTTGTAAATTGGATAAATTATTTGGGAACGCATACGTTACAAAACATATCATTATATACATAAATTATTATATATGTACATATAAATATATTTACTTATATCTTTTTTAAGTATTTAACCAATAAAGGAGCAACAAACTCTGAACGTAATTAAATTTTATATATATCCGAGTACTGTAGACGGGTGCTCAATGAGCGGCAATGAAAACGTCTGGCTTATCATAATGTCGACCACGTACTTAAAAGGGTGTAGGGTAGGTGCATAAAATGAAAGTATAGGTAGAATTGAAATCCGTGGATTAATATACGGTGATATTTGTATTTTTAAAAAGTGAACAGTAAGCCATGTTTGAGAGAATATTATTATCGTTTAATATCGTTACGCGGCTGTAGTCCGAATTGGGTTAAAAAAATCCATGGAAATATTTTCAATATCATCTCGAAGTTTGGAAATGGTACTTTATTAGATTTACGCGAATATTTGACATTTTAAATAAAACTATCTTTTCGGATTTTTTCGCGAATTTATTTTGATTTTTGGTTCCCTGTAAAATAAGAATAAAATCAAAATAAATTCGTGTAAAAATCCGGAAAGATAGTTCTAGGTATTTAAAATTTGGAAATGGTGTTATAGAACAAGTAAAGTAGACCGTACCTGATCTTTCCGTTCTACTGAATTATAGAAGCAAGGGAATGTAAGGTGCACCTGTTCTGGCGCATACACTTGAATATAAATTTTATTATGATAGTGCCCACAGCTGCTAGCATAGCTTATTTATGCTCCGCTCTGTTACTCGTACATAGCCAGTAACCTCCCTTAATATATAGTTTAAAAATATTTTTCAAATTTGAATGGTAGTTCCAAGTTTTAGGGCAAACGAAAACAAACAAACAAAAAACAACTTTTCAGCATTATTTATTAGTGAATCTAGTGTAGATCATCATGTGTAACTGTAACAGTTTTCTACTAGCCTTACTATTTTAAATATTACGTCATAGCTTTGAAAGTCTTACAACTTTGAAATCCATTGAAATAAGACGTTGCGAACGTCTAATTAAAAATATTTCTATGAAACTTTATGAAGTTTTTATTGAAAACTGAAACGCTCAAATATCATCATACGTATCAGTGGCGAAGCGTCCACACAAGACGTCTTACCTTATAATAATTTTGCTATAATTTTACATACATTTATTATTAATATATATATATATGCTTTATTTCATTCTGTGTTAATAAGTAGGTATATAAAAATTGTATATATTTGGAACGCCCCTAACCTCTGCTAAAATTTCACCCTTCGCCACTGATATCTATTCTATATATAATTATAATTAAGACAACTATACAGTTTATAATCAAAAGTTAAATAAAAATGCTATTTCGATTCCTATACCTACCTTTCTTAGAAGTCTCGCTCTTGAATTTCACTTTGGAATATTCGATTTGTTATGATAGAGTCGCAATAGATGTTGCAACTCTCGGATCGTAACGACTGTAAAAAGCAACGTGTCAATCAAATTGGTTCACATATATTAAATAAAATGTTGAAGACTCACCAAATATTACATACTAGCGACTCACCCTCGCTTTGTTCGGGTTCGTCTTTAGGTAGGTACATTTTAACGGTCAGTATGGAATAGATTGAGTATATATAATACTAGCGAATCACCCTTGCTCCGCTCGGGTTCGTCCCTAAGTTGATTCCCCATACAAACTTTCATCCCCATTTTCACCCCTTTAAGGGATGATTTCGTGGATAAAAAGTATGCTACGTCCTTCCTAGGGTCTCAAACTACCTTCTTACCAAATTTCATCTAAATCGGTTCAGTAGATCCAAAGATTACCCCCTACAACGTCACAAACTCTCAAACTTAACCTCTTTATAATATTAGTATAGATGATATATAGCCTTTCTCTATAAACATGCTATCTAATTCAAAAAGATATTTTCAAATCTGGATAGGAGTTCCTGAGATTAGCACGTTCAAACAAATAAACAAACAAATGCGTATAGACCAATATTTTCAATACAGAGGCTTTTTATGGAGATATAGAAAATATATTACTAGTCAAGCACTGAATGCTATGAGATTTAAAACATACTTATACATAATATGTAGTTATTAATTACCCTCAGACTAAGGAATAATATAGATAAAGTGTCATAGAACTAAACATGAAGTTAAACAATGATGTTTTAAAAAAGTACACAAATGTCACTTTGTATACTGAATTATGAGTAAATAAATGTTAATAAATAAAAATAGCTAACGGATTTTATTAGAATAAAAAAATGCTATCTCACTTTCAAGGGGAAGAGAACTAAAGCTTAAAAATATAAAAGGACTATTACCTTCCGAGACAAATAGATAGATGTTATACTGCAAATCTATATAGTATAAAACGAAGTCGCTCCCGCTGTTTGTACGCTTAGATCCATTAAACTATGCAACGGATTTTGATGCAGTTTTCAGTAATAAATAGAGTGATTTAAGAGGACGGATTATACGTATAATGATTATACGTAAGATATACATGCACATAAGTCGTACAGAAAAGCCGAGAAATTCAAAGATTTGTATAGTATGCTTACATTGCCTACCTAGGGACGAATCCGAGCGAAGCGAGGCTGAGCCGCTAGTATATTAGATTTCTTCTCAAGAAATATTTTCATTAAATTTCAAGTTCCTTACGATGAGAAAATGCGCAATTACGCATATATTATTTCTCTGTTAACTAAACCTGGTCATAAATCTATCCAAATTTAATAAGGCAATTAATTACAGTTATCTTACGACAGTATACCACGTAATTAGCGTTGATTTAAGATCGTGATGTCCTAAATATGTTTGCTGTGTTATAAATCAGTGTAATTGCTGCGAATATTGGCTTAAAACATACTCTTAAGTTATAGAAATTAATAAAATAAAATAAAATAAAATAATAAATCAATAAAATTAATAAAAAATAAAATAAAACAATGACAAACGCAACCCGGGGGGTGGTCACTAAGAATTTGCTCCAGACTATGTTTAATTGTTTTTTTTTAAACTACAAAAACTCCTTTCCTGTGATAACTTAATATCCATCGATCACATGGTAGGATCTTGGACTGTTATAGAATAAATTTTCATTACAAAGTATGACATTTACCTATAGTATACATTTTTATACGTTCCAGTTAGATACATTAAAGAACCAT